CCTTCCTTCCTTCCTTCCTTCCTTCCTTCCTTCCTTCCTTCCTTCCTTCCTTCCTTCCTTCCTCCCTCTTTCAAGCATCAATGGTTCCATGTTTTAAAGAATGTTAAATTAGCTTAATTGGATTTAAATTAATCCATGACAATATTCAATTTTGAGTTTATTGGATACCCCAAAGAACATATTCAAAAGGATGAATGTCAGATTTTCTTTGTTGGTGATGTAAAAAACTTGAGGGATCACTAATTCATATCATTTCTTTTGTTTTGTAATGTTAAAGATATTAATCTTATGTTAAATTATGTCCCAAAACTTTGGAATCTGTCTGAGAAATTATGTTTTAACGGGCATGGAGTATTGTTAATTATTCTGAGAATTTCAAACAGTACAGGTAGTCCCCACTTTAAGAATGAGTTTCATTCCCAAGGTCTGTCCTTAAGTCGAATTTGTATGTAAGCCGGAACAATGTTATTATATAGTACTGTATTGTATAATTAACTCGAACCATTGTGCATTTAACTTGAAGCATTGTGCATTTAACTTGAACTTTGCTGCAATAGGCTCTGTTCTTAACCTGGGGACTAAGGATTGGATTCCAGAAAGAGGCTATTTGCAGGACTGCCTGTCTCCAACTGCTTCTGCTTGTCCCACCAGATCTGGTAGGGAGGGAATGCTCCTGATCCCCTCTATTAGGCAATTCCAACTTCCTGGACAGAGGAGTCATATCTTCTCTGTTGCAGCGCCTACCCTGTAGAATAGCATCCTCCTGGAGATTGAGATGACCCCCACCATTAGCCTTTTGTAAGGCACTTAAAACCTGGCTGTTCTCCCAGGCATCTATGCCAGGATGTTAATTAACTCTGTTAGTTGATTGGGTGGCTGACATATTGTTGCTTTGGCAAATAGGGAATGTTTGTTTTGATCCCTGGACTTTAGTTATATGGATTACTGTTGCATTACTGTTATTTGCTGTTGGCTTTTTAACCTTTGTATATGACCTATTGTTGCAATGGGTGGCCATATAAATTGGCTAAGTAAATAAGTAAAATATGTAGTCCATCTGTTTCAGAAAAGGCACTTTTATCTGATTTATACATGTCTGTGTGTGTGCCTTTGAGTCAGTCGTGACTCCTGATGACTGCTTGAACTAGTCCCTGCAGTCTTCTTGGCAAGATTTTTGGAAGTGGTTTGCCATTGCCTTTTTCCTAGAGCTGAGAGTGAGTGACTGGCCCAAAGTCACCCAGTTGGCTTTGGGCCTAAGGTGGGAGTAGAACTCATAATCTCCAACATGGTGCTTTAACCACTATACCAAACTGGCTCTCACACTTATGTACTAATAAAAAATGACTCAGTTTGGCATAGATTTTATCATAGATTTTAGTTTACAATGTTATTTATTCTTTTAAAATGAGACTTGTATACTGCTGAATTCTTCAAATATGCAATATGTTTAAAGACTTTGTAACTTTTTAAATAAGTTTTTCTATGTTGTTCTTTTCGTATTTTTTTCTTTTTCTTTTTGTATAAGTTTTTGTAAAACTAGTTATGAAATAAAATAAATAAACATTGGAAAGAAGGAAACAGGGAAGAAAACCTGTAAAGATTAAGAATGGACTTCTTGCGAGATGGATATGGTGAATAAGAAACTCCAGTGCCTACAAACTGTATTCTGCTCTTATTTTAAAGAATTGGGTCCTGAGCATCCTCTTTTTTAATTTACTTTTCATTTATAACCACTTCTTCATTCTTGGCCCCAACCACTGCTGAACACAAAAGATTCAACATAAAATTTCAAAACAGATTTAAAGTGTGTTCTGAACCTTTATGGTGGAAATATGCCCCCCACCACACATTTCTCATACTTCTTCTTTCATGTTACTTACAGAATTTTGGCATGGGCTCGTGTGCTGGTAACCACTGCCATGTAGAGCTGTCCATCTGCTGGTTCAATGTCATCAACATAGACAGCTTCACCAGTGGCATGCTTAATACCAGACTCATGCTGGATGGGACGTCCCACAGGGTCTTGAGGAGGCTGTTGAGGATCTACATCCTGCCACATAGTAAGAAGTCATTGAAACTATTGGGAAATGGCATTCATAAATTCCTTTCTATTTTTTTTCTGAGAAAAAGGTTAAATTTCTGCTTGTTTCAGAGTTCCTCATCTTTGTGAACCAACAAACACATCTAAACTAGTGGGAACATAAGGGCACTCTCACAAAATGGTTAAAGCGTGGCCAGCCACAAATCCCCCATATACCGGAAGAGCACTGGGCTGTAGGCTCACCACATTTTCTTTTCTAGGAATGCCTCTGGGATCTATGTGGGGCTGAGAAGCATTGCTGCAGATGCAGGTTACAACTGGGACTGCACTTTATTTTGCAGTATTCTTATATCCCATTCATTTTTAAAATTGAAATATTTTTTAAAAAATAAAACTAAGTAAGGCAGATAATTTGATAGGCATCAGTGTGAGTGAGTATGGGTGGTGACTAAATTTGAAATATAAATGAAGGAAGGAAGGAAGGAAGGAAGGAAGGAAGGAAGAAATAAATAAATATTTCTATAGGTAGGAGCACTGTTACTTTCAAGCACCTCATTGGGCACCTACATCATATTTTGTCTATTATGTACCTAACTTGGACAATTTTCCTGGTAATGACAGAAAGTCCAGATTTCTAGAGCAAAAGAAAATGCCCTCACCTTCAGGAATTATTAGGTGGGTGATTATTACTAATGGCAACTAAAGCCAGGCCACAAATGTCCTCTTCCTATTTTTGCAGAGTCATTTCTATTATCTGATGAGATATTTGTAGACCATTTAGAAAGGCTTATCATTTTTATCTATGCATAACTTCCTTTAAAATTGACCTCACTGACCTGGTATATCTGTACACCCTGTAGTGGTACATCGTAGAACTCGCCTAAAGCACTCATATATTCCTTTGGTAAGTCAGGATACTTGGATGGAAACTGTAGGAAGTTAGGAATTCATTTAATATATCATACTAACATTTCAAAACTGATTTTGCTAGGGAACAGTCCAGTGTCAAAAGAGCATTGTTATATTCCATTGCAACATTAACAATAGTTTAGCATTATAAGAACTCTTCTGGGTCCACACAGTCTTCTTCTACAGCAGCAAGAAGGACATTGGAAATGTCTACTTATATTTTAGATTCACCAAATTTAGCATTAACCAAGTCTAAACTTTAAATTGGAATGAGTTTAAAGTATGATGTCATAACATATGATGTAAAATTAGCTTGTATCCAAAGTAATTACTATCAGAAAGCATAGCATCTGTTGAAACGTAGGTCTAAATTATACAACTGTTCTTGGTGTGAGTTTCCTAGGATTACCATATCTGGGTTGTTCAAATTCAGACAATGACTAGATGGCAGTAGAGTTACAGTTTTCTGTACCCCATAGAAGTCCTAAACTTTTCTGTGTAAATTTTCACTGTGAAACATTTATTGGTAACATTTCTATTCTTAGCCACTATGGCTATTTATATCATCAACTGTATTCCATCCAATATATATTGCTGATATTGTTTTCCTACTACATAGAAGTTTTAACATAGGCAGGTCCATCTGATTTTAATATTACAACAAGAAAGTCTGGTGGAAAAGATGGCAATCCTATTACAGCTTGCTCACAATGGGAAGTAAATATCCTACATGACATGGACCTGACAGCAGCTAGTCCCAGGCCACCAGCTCACACACTTCACGATGTCAGTGATCTACATAGAGCAACTTTCCCATCCAAATGTCACAAGGTGATGGTTTGCTGTTTGGCTATGCAGAAGATCTATTATTTACCATGTCTTTTAAGTCTTGTAGTACTTCCAGATAGAATCGGAAGAAGAAACTGATAAGTAGAGTGCGTCTGTATTCTACTTTTCCACCTGGTGCTGAGGGAGAGAGTGTAATTTCTTCAAGAATTAGCTTGCAAGCTTCATTCAGCATCTGCTCATTCCAGTTTCTGGGGGGAAAAGTAATATAGCCAAACATGCTTAGATGAGCAAAGTACAGTTAAGGAAAAATTTGGATAAGCAGTGATAAGTCTCTCCAAATACAAGCACTGGAACATCACTGCTTACAGCATAGGTTGGCAGCTGTAGCAGTACTATCACATATTGCAATGACAAATTCAAAATTTACACAAGAAACCTTTCAAGAATCCAGGGCTAATTTTGTACTTTTATTTTGGGATAATTATTAGCATACATAAAGTTAGTAATATGACATTGACCTATGGAAATGTCTAGTTAATATGTCAGTGAAAGGATAAAAATGGATTTCTGGTGTATTAACAGCGGAGATTTCAAGCAAATTACTTCTTGAGCATGTGTGTGTATATATATTCTCTCAAAATATATGTTACATAGAGAATGAAACAGTAGAACTAGGATGAAGACCAATTGTATGTTTCTTTGAACAGAAACCGTTTGCATTCCCTGAAGTGGAGGATGTAATTTTGTCTTGTAGCTGCTCCACCCTGCCAAAATTGATCTGGAGAGTCTTCTGGAACAAATTTGAGAAATGGACAGGAGCTTCAAACCATTGTGTGAGGGAGCAAGGGGAAGTCCAATTTCATGACCAGAAGGCTGCTTACCCAAATTGTATCCCACCTGAGACTGCAACCCTAAATGCATCCAGCTGTTAGTGGCTCTTAAAGCAAGATAGACCTCCTTGATCAATCTGGCCTCTCTCACCAGAGGAGGAGCTAACCACCAGGAAGAGTGCAAGATCATTTGAAGGCTCTGTTTGGGATTCTCGATTTTGGTGCAGTGCCTCAACTCCTTTAAGAAGTCTTCAGATTTGCAGTGTTTATGGAGCTCTCCAGGATGCTAGCTTTAGTTACAGCATTCCCCTACTGCAACCAGGGACAATCTGTTGAGGGTCAAAATCTATACGTTTTATGTGGAATTGAGGAGTGTAAAGTGGGTTGAGCCACATCACACATATGAGCATTGCTGGGTATTGCTGGAGTGATTTTGCCTTTCTTCCCCCTTTGTTTTGATAAATTCTGATGTGCCTATTCTAGGGCTTACCCTAGACCAGTGCTTCCCAAACCTGGGTAAATTATCCAAAATTGGGTAAAAGTGGTTTTTCTTTGGGTAACGATACACAAACCCATTACACAATCACAACAGGGACATTTAAATTGACTTAAAGATTGCCACATGTATTAAAATATATTTGAAAATCTCCTAAAGTATTCCTATTCAGACAAAAATTGAAATTACCAATGGTAATTTGTTGAAATGACATAAAGATCATTCAGTGATGTTGTTTTTATAATAAAGGTTATAAAGTTACAACCATTCATTCAGCAACTATTCGAAGTTAGGATTTGGGGTAATGAAGGAAAAAGTTTGGGAAGCACTACTCTAGACTTTCTATGAATTACTCATATCAAAATGACAATGCATTCTGCTCTCACTGTTCTGAAATCATTGGTGGGGGCTCTGAAGGCTGAAAAAGTGGACTGATCAACTACAGCCCCTCAGGTTCAAATTGCCATTCCTGCCTTAATGGAACTTGGGATTTTAATTTATTTCAACTACATGTGACAGAACATGTCATTGTAGGATATAGCCAGGAATTTTTGATTTATTATCATATCATATCATATCAATCATATCATATTTATTGGTCACCCAACTCCAAAGTCTGGAGTTGGGCGGCCAATAAATATAAATAAATATAATATACCCAATTCCAGACTCTGAGCGGTATACAAAACTAGAAAAAACATAAAAACAGCTAAAACATAAAATCAGACAACAGCCAGACTAAAATAATCTGATAAACAACAACATCAACAAAACAAGAGTTTTAAACAAATCATAAACATTAACCCCAGGCCTGGGACCAAAACCAAGTTTTCAAAGCTTTCCTGAACCCTAGGAGAGAGGGCACATCCTTATATCTTTACAGGGTATCATAATATTTCACTCATCTAATATTTATTTTTTGAATCTGGAAGATATTGCCTCAGCTCAGTGGACTGAATTATGTGACATATAGCCCTGTGATGTGTAGGTCGATATAACATTTAAAAGAAATTTTTCCCAGAAACCTGGCTTTTTAAAAAACAAGAAAGCAGATGTACCTTTTACCTCTCAGTTCAGGTTCATATACAAGTTGAAATTCTCATTTCTCTCAATTCAGTTCATGATAATATTTTAAAGAGTAACTTTTCTAAATATTCAGAAGCTATTTTGAAACAAAAAGGTAATCCACCTTATTCTTCTTTTTAAATAAAGAAGTATTCATACTACAACTTGTAGACCCAGGCATTGTATTCAGTACTGTCTAACATTACAGAAATTGTTGGATGTACAAATTCACTCTCCTCCTGCAGCCTCTCAAATTTGCCCAGAAAAGTTGAAGAATCCTTGGGTGGAAGCTTAGGGAAACACACAGGGAATTCAGAAGGAAGAAAGCAACGGGCCATCCCACTGGGGAATGAACATTTCTTTGCATGAGATTAGATAGTGCTTAACCAGAATTTCATTATCCTATGTTGTTTGAGTGATCTCTATAATGCTAAATAGTACCATTGGCATATACCTTCCAATGAGCTTCTGGCAGGAATTCCTTGCACTCACAGTTGTACAATCAATGCCTCCATATAAAATAGCCAGGTCCTGAATGACATCTGTGCCTGGCTGGAAAAGGACTTTCATTGCACAATTTATCACTGACAGTGCATTTCTTCTACGATCTGCCTGTCGGAAGGCTGACACAAACTCATTCTGGCAGAAGGAAGAAAGAGAAATCTGATTATTTCCCTACATCTGTGCTGCCATCCTTTAGTTCACATGTGAAAACTAAAACTATTCTAAAAACATATGCCTATGAGAGAAACAGTAAGAGCCAAGCAACACATGGCATTATCCATGCTTTTAAAGAAGAAACTGTCACCAAGAGATTGAACCAAACTACTAATATTACAGTCCTATGAGTAATGTTTGTTTAATCCTCCCCAGAATTTCTACTCCATCTAAACCTTGTACAGTCTCAACTTCTCTGAATAATGGGGGGAGCAGTTTTCTGAAACTTTTGGGTCATGTATGCTAGTATAGAGGAAAGAGAAGAGAGAAAAGTCTCATTGTGGGCTAGACAAAGTATACCATGATGCAAAACATTCGTTCCCAACACTGCATGCTCAGCTTTCCACAGGCTGCATGATCAGAGAATGGAGAAAAATGCACAGACTTACTTCCCCTGAGAATGGAATAAAAACAGAGACAATGACTTCATTTTCTGAAAGGTCTGCTTGTGGTATTCGTTCAAGGAATTCATCATTTAGTGGAATCTCCCGTGTTCCATCTGATGGAGGAAATAACACTTTTTAGAGAAGGTGCTCTGTCAGACAGAGGCCTTACCTACCACATGAAAGAGAAAAATACTGATATACCCAAGAGAAACATTTACTGGAAGACTGCTGGCAATGAATTACAGGTAGTCCTTGCTTAACAACCGCAATAGGGACCAGAAAATTTGTTGTTAAGCAGGGTGGTTGTTAAGTGAGTTGTGCCCAATTTTATGACCTTTTCTGCAGTGGTCATTAAGCAAATCACTGTGACCATTAAGCAAATCATGTGGTTGTTAAGTGAATCATGCAGTTCCCCATTGATTTTGTTTGCCAGAAGCTGGCTGGGAAGGTTGCAAATGGCAATCACGTAACCCTGGGACACTGCAACCATTGTAAGTGCAAGCTGGTTCCCAAGCACCCGGATCACGATCATCTGACTGTGGGGATGCGGTGACGGTTGTAAGTGCGAGGACTGGTTGTAAGTCCCTTTGTTCAGCGCCATTATAACTTCAAACAGTCACTATACAAATGGTTATTAAGTGAGGACTACCTGTATTCTAGTCTTTCCAGATTTGTAGGCTGTGATCTCTGATTCCCACTGGCACTGTACCCAGAGTTCTCTAAGGTCCAACCTACTGTATATGCCTGCAGGAATGGAGATTCTTTGGGCAAAATTTGTTTATTATTTAACCATCTGTTCTGCATTTTTGTCATTGTCCTACATTCTGTCCTACTAATGAAGAGCATGTTACATCAATTGATGACATAAAGGGAAGATTTCAAGGTTTTAAGAGTAAAATACATTTCTAAAGAGCAAAGTCTCCCCTCCCCTGTTTAGAAATTGCTGCTGTTTGCAGCATCTGAGAAGGACTGAGCCCTGCTTTAATTTATTTCTAGTATTTAAAATATGAGATTTTACTAGTAACACTCATGTAATTGTAACATTTCCTTGTAATGTAAGAATACACCAGCCTTCCCATATATTGGGTGCCCTCTAGTTGCACTGGGACTAGATCTTCAGAATTCACAGCTAGTATGGCTGTTGGCTTAGCACAGGTGGGATGCACAAGATTAGGGAGTCTAGTTCACATGCTGCATAAATATAAAATCTCAGGAGGCTTTGTATTTACCTACTGATGCCAGATAGAGAATAGCTTTCCCAGCTGCCAGGACAGGGTTCAAATCCCAGGTTGATCCTCTGCTTACAATGTGTCCTCCTAAAGACTAAGGAATAAGGTTTATTTGCTTCTTGTCCACATCTCTATACAGATTTGAAACACAATGATCAGAAAGTAGAGGTCTTTTTTGTTCATAGTGTATCAAGTTAGTGAAATACCCTTGTTCAATAATAACAACAGTTTTCAGTGAAGTCTTGTACATCTGTATTCAGAAGCAAACCCACTGAATTCAGAGGAATCTGCTAATGTAAATGTGTCCTGAATTATAGCTGAAAATTACTGCAACCAACATCTTGTTGTGAAACGTATTCAATAAAAACTAACTCATCTCTTCAGTCTAGATTATTTTTTATTCAGGTTGTAACTTTTTCCACTATTTTTATTTAAGTAAATGGTTTGTGACATTCTCTTGTATATAGATATCGGTAGGGGGAAGCTGCTGGGGGGGAGTAATGAAATCTGTGCCCTAATGGAGTTTCCACCCCTAACATATCTCCATGCAACATTGCAATGCAAGTAAGAAAGGGCAGAGATTGTATTGTATTGTGATGTCACAATGCATGTTTTGTCATTTGAGGTTAGGAATGGTTACACTAGTCTTGTATCTAGTGAATACTGGATTGGCTTGCATAGCTTGGTGTCAATGACTCACTCAAGAGTTCCCCTTTAACTCTTAAAAAAAGAGACTTGTAAAAAAATTTGCCATCAGAATCTCATCTACTAGGTTGGGATTTCTTGGTTGAGGCCAATAGGTAGACTTGTAAACCTCTGAGTTAGATATCAGAACAACTTCTGCATTGAATCTGGGGATAGATGCTTTATTGCTAGGGGATTTTCCTCCATAGGTTGTGGAAGGAAAATATTAGATATATATTCTTCCTCTCACAATTTGCCTGTCACTCTTTGACTGTTGAATCCTGCTCTTGTATTCTCTGAAGATAATGATAGGCTCTAGAATAGCTTGTAGAGATATGTGGAGCTAATGAGATGAAGTAATTTGCATTTTGGGAAAGAAAATCGTGTAGAAAACATACAGCCAGACTCCTGATCTGTTCTCCAGCCAGAGTTCTCAGTTGCTTCAAGAGAGTACGGTAAATCTTGGTTTTCTCCATTGGAAGCTCTGAGACGATGTTTAGTAGGAAGTCTCTCAACTGGGCAAAGCGGGTTGCTGCTCCTATCAGTATGCCTGAAACCAAACAATTTTCAGAGAACTTGGTTACTGGGAAGATTAGGAACAATAACAGTGCAGTTCTATACAAAGAAGTAAGGCCAACTAAACTCAATGGTGCCTATTCTCAGACAGACAGACAGACAGACATGATTGCAGTCTCAGCTAGCAGCCACATTCATGAAGTGGTGTGCTGCCATTACAATGTTGGAATAGCAATAAAACCTAATCTGCTAAAGAATGTATATGAGAGAAAATGATGTTTATGTGGGCATGCAACTACTATAATACAATGGCTACAATCTAATCACAGTCAGTTATGGTTAAACATGATTAAGAAAACCTGCTAATATCTTCCTCCTTGGAGTCCATGATCTGATTGTTTGATGCATCCATAGCATCCTTATTATTTTTGTCTATTCCTCAGTGCACTTTATGGCTGACTGAAGACCCAGACATTGATCTGCTATTGTTGCCATAGTGGTTTCTTTGCTACATCTGAGTGTGGTTGTTTAATTCATTTTATTCTTAATTGATGCTCTTTATTATTTTAAAACAGAGCTGTAGTAAAATTACATATTGAAATAAAGCTAGTGTCATGACCCTAGAGTGGAAACAGATAACGGAAACCAGACAACTGTCTTTTTTAGAGCATAAATGGAATTGTGTGAAAGGAGAAAGTACACAGGTACAATAAATGCTATTATTTACAGAACATGTTGGTGGTCTCTAACAGGATAGAATCTTATAGTGTGACAGAACACAGGGACAACATAGTAAGGTTGCCTTCAATCTCTTATCAAAAACATTCAGGGATAAGGGTCATGTTGTGATTACAATATTTTCTTTATCTTTCTTATGTAGATAGATAGCCTTCCAAAGGCTCATGAGAAGGCTGCGTGCCATTTGGAGAAGCGTGCATGTGACTTGGAGAAGGGTGTGCATAGCCTTGGGAAGAAGGCCTGGTGCAGCCAGCAACTGCCTTGCATAGGGCCAGGCCAGGCGTGCTTCGTCAGCAGCGGAAGGAAGAAGACAGCGAAGGTCAGCTGGGGCAGCAGGGCCGGTGGAGTGCAGGGTGGTGGGGTGGCTGGGGCAGCGCTGGGGTAGCTGGCCATAGGGTGGGGCTTGACTCGGCACTCCTCAGCAGCAACAGCAGCATTGGGGTTGGTGGCTGGCTGAGACTGCTGAAGGCCCCGGGCCTCTACTTCAGCCCCAGAGCTGCCAGCGCCACCACCACTGCCGAGGAGTGCTACTGTGCAGGGCAGCCAAAAGGGCAGAGATGGGAGGGAGATGGGCAGGTTGGAGGAGTTGAAGCACCCTGCGGTCATAAGTGCGGGCGGGCTGCCAAGCACCTGAATTTTGATCAAGTGACTGCAGCGGTGCTGCAACAACCATAACTTTGGAGACCAGGAATAAGCACCATTCATTCTACACTGCTGTAACTTTGAATGGTCGCTGAATGAATAGTCATTAAGTGAGGACTACCTGTACATTCTGAACCTTGCTTTGTTCAGAACCCTTTGACAGTTCTTTGGCAAGGAGCTCACTGATCATTGTTTGTGCATGCCAAGACAGCTAATCATCCTTTAACAGTGATGAAAAAGTAACTTTACAATCAATCCTTGCATTTACGACCTTTGCAGGTCTGTAAAGCAAAGGAAAGCTGAAGTAAGATCATAAGCATAGTGGTGGTTTCACTTCACTTAATGACTGAGTTGCCAGTCCCAACTATGATCACTAAATGAGGACTACCTGTAAAAAGTATACTTTGTTGCATCTATCTCCATTTGTTTTGGTCCCTTGTTTAAAGTGGGCATTTGCCCCACAACAAGGACGTACCATTGTTTCCAGTGTTGGTCACATGCAGCTCTGGAACCCTTATAGGATGGAGGAAAAGGGGATAATAAACTTCCAGAAGTTTCCTATCGAGTCCTAATGGGGAGAAAATTAGAATCAGATGCCAGAAAGAGAAGGCAAAACCAAAAGTTGGGCAGCAGAAGCAGCCTATGCAAGTATTTGCTGTGCAGAGCAGCTGCCAAATTAACCTGGAATGAGTTCTGGAGCAACCAGAAGTAACGTATATGGGCATATATTTTTCTGAGTGAGAAGTAGTGAGTATGCAAGGACATGGTAAGCCTGTAACCATTCCCGCTATTCTTTCGTACTGCTGGTCTTGAAAACATGACTGCCACCAACATGCCTACTTCTATTCTCAGAGTGCTAGAGGAGGTGGCTAGAGGAGGACTATGTAACTTATTGAAACCATGAGACAGTTTGCTTTAATGTTAATTTACCTTTTGGCGAAGTAGGGGAACCATATTTTTAATTGACCCCTTCCAATAAAAAGGAGCAGAAAAACTCATGTTTCTATGGTAGAAAAAAAGAAAAAGCACAAGTGCTTGAAACTTATCTCAGCATGCCCGTTTTCTATGTCAGGGAGATTGGGGATGGTTGGTTTTATAAACAAAGCATCCTCAAGTTACTTTCCATCCTTGCTCCCTATAGTGGTAAGACTCCTTCTGTTACTTCATTCTCCTGCTTGGGTAAATCTATTCCTGGTGAATTCTCTTCAGGAAAGGTAGCCTGTGATGTTCAATGCACTGGCAACTTCTATTTTCTATTACTACAATGGTATATCTGTATCTGTACCGTCCACATACAGTATATATGTACAAGAAGGACAAGTGCCCAGCCAGCAGCTTCTTTTTAGTTTCCTTTACACTTCTTACATCATGTCACCTTCCCTCATGGCTGACCACCTGACATGTAGGGCTCAGTCTACTTACCTACACATGTATTTCCTATGACAAGAGGTGCTTGTGGGTTGGTGGCTTTCAATTGGAGAAGTTCTTCTAGAGATGCAGGAGAAATCCATGTTGTCCTTTTTCCACTGAAAACCAGAGTTTTTCCTCTGTTCTCTTCAGCCATTCTCTGTGAGGAAAAGCAACACTGACGGAGACTGTACATACTCTTGGTGCTACTCAATTAGAGTTCTTATTACTCAGGGCAGAATCTCCTCCAGAGCACCTACTGCTTCTGCAGTTCTTCTGCAGCCAAATTTCCAAATGAGTTGCTGCATGGTGGGCATGGATTAATGGACACAGTAGTATCTACTGTATGTATAACTCAGACTAGTAGCACTCATCCATATTCACGGTTCTTACTGCAGGAAAAATAGGTGGCATCAGAAAAGCCACATTTCTTTTGCATGAATACCGGAATCACATGCCATAAACTACCTGTGCAATTATTGTTACAGGACAAGTGGCAAGTTGTTTGGGAGTTTCACATTTGCTTTAAAAAAGGGAGATAAATAACTATCTGTGCAATCCTGGATATTTATTACTTTGCACTGACAGTTCGGTCACCACCAGAGCCCAACGAGTTTTTAGTTTCAGTTTGCATTCCATCTAAACTGCAGCTGTTGGTTATGTTTTTTTTAAAAAGGCTGATAATATCCATGTGTACTTCTGCAGCTGGGACAGAGATTTAAAAATAAAAATTGGTCATTTTCAATGTGCAGTTTTGTGGCTGCTCAATGACAAATATTCCCCACATTTTTTTAAAGAAAAAAGTCAACATTGAATGTCCCATCTGCTAACTCCTTCTGTCCCGCTCACAGTTAAAGGGGGGAAAAATGGGATAAATAGTTCTACAGACTTAAAATCACTTTCAACAACTAGATGTACAATGTTACTAGTTATCAGTGACTGAAAAAACATAATTTGGAAACATGGGGAAAGTAGTTGCCAAAAAAGATGCCATAAAACCAGAAAAGGAAAACACTGAACCGAGAGGAGCAATTATAATCAGCAGAATGGGCTGGAATCAGAAAAATTTGCTGCTGTAACATGGAGCTCCACCTATAGCATCCCCAGGTCAATGGGATACAATACAGAAAATCTTGTAAAAGATTATAAGAACTTTACAAGACTGGATAAAAGACTGATCTCCTACCATTAATTCAGGAGGAAATATATAATCCTGGGTTGGATCCCTGGGATGGAATTCTTCGGGCTTACATAGGCCTGAACGCATCTAAAAGAAAATTATTATATTATATATATAGAGAGAGAGAGATTAAAAGTGGATATGTAATTTACAAAAGTAGTCATTGGCTGGGGTGATGGGATTCCCCAGACAAGCTAAGCTGCTCTCGATGACTCAATTATACACCACTGTCCAATTCAGATCATTATTTGAATTCAGATGAATGCACAGGTCACTTGCATGCATGGTCTACCTCACTGATCATTTTGTCAGAAGCTGTGATGAAGTAACTTTACAACCAATCCTCACATTTATGACCTTTGCAGGTCTGTAAAGCAAAGGAAAGCTGAAGTAAGATCATAAGCACAGTTGCGGTTTCACTTAGCTACCACTCCCCTTAATGACCAAGTTGCCAGTCCCAACTGTGATTGCTAAATGAGGACTACCTGTAATTATGAATATCAGATAGCATTTAAAAAAAAAGTATGTATGTATTATGATATTTTTTAAAAGAAAAATTGGGGGAGATTCTAAACCACCTTCCTCAACTGGATGCCTTCCAGGAGTATTGACTTTCAACTCCTTTAATTATTTAGCCATCATGATCTTGAGTGGTTCAGATGAGGGAAGGTTCTCTAGGTAACCATCTAATGTTGATCACTTTGAGTATTGTTTCTATAGAAAAGCAGCATACAAAATTAAGATAACTAGTGAATGTAACTAAACATTCCAAGCAACCATAGTTGTTAATTAACCAGTACCATTAGGGTGGCTGAGGATAAATAATGTAGGCCCAGCTCAATCCTAACATGTGATAGATGCACTTTTCAGTAAGCTGATGAGGAGATGTAATAAACCTGCAAGAAGATAGGTGTGAGTATGTTGTTGCTGCGTACTGTATTGAAGTTAGTTGGGATTGGCTGTAAGCACTCTACCACTCAGATTTTATAATGATGGCCCAAGAGAGGATCTGGGCTGATTCAGTGTCCAGTGGCTATGCACACCTGATCCAGCTTGCCACAGATCCAGTGCAGGTTACTTCACTAGAAACATGCGCAATGCTGGCTTGAATTTCTAGCTCCGATAAGCACATGACTCTTTTCTATTAGTGGGATTTATTTGATATGGAGGCAACCAGCCTGTTCTTTGTCATACAAATGTGCTCCTCACAAACTCATGTTATGCAGATTCACCTGTTGAATGGAAGCTAGCAATAAATGCATCCTGAGTCAGACTTTACATAATTTCTGTAAGAGTTACTGCATAACACAGGAGCAAAACAGCTATGGAAGAGGTGGAAATGAGGCTCAGGTGGAAGTAGCTTATTGTCTGAGGCCACAGGGGAGGGTGGCCATGAAGGCAATGAGAGGTCTTTTCGGTGTTCCTCAGATCAGCATCGTTAGGTAACCAAAAATCATGGTGATAGAATCCTATACCAGTAATGCTAGAGTTCTTTAATTATGAGTAGAAAAAGTTCTCTGCCAACTTTTCTAAAGGAACTGAAAAAACAAGAACAGGTTTTCTCTTTAATCTCTTCAAAGGATATTAATCCTTTTTAAAAACAAGAAACAGCTAAAGCTGTTCACAGACTTGGAATCCTGTTGGCCATGCTTGATTTTCTCATTCCGGATCAGCTATCAGAATCAACAAACACCCGGTTTTTTATACAGGTTTTAAGGAAAGAATTTCCTCTGCAGTATTACTGCAGGGTGTGGTGAACATTTTTAAATTTCTGTGGAAAAATACCCAGGACAGTTTAATTAAAACTTTGTTACATTTGAGTCCTGTCAAAGAGCTAATCAACAAGTTATGCATACTACAACGCTATCCTTGTCAGAACTTGTCTCAGTACAAAACAGCTTTGGAAGGCAAAATGTTTAGACAATCCCCAGAAATTCTTTCACTGAACTACTGTACACTATTACAAAACCCCTACACCATGTATCTCATCCAGCTGATGAGATTTCACTTGACTAGTAAAGCAAACTAGTCTCCTCTTCCTCTGAGAATTATTATTATT